GCCAAAATAAAAAATAAAAAATAAAAATAAAAATAAAAATAGAGTTTAAAAAAAGAAAACATAAGAAGGGTATAAAGGCCTTTGTGCAGCTTTCCCACATTAAACTTGGGGTTGGAGGGATAAAAGCAAAAATCCCCGTCTTTTTTTTGTGCAGAACCGGGGACTGAACTCAGATCCTTGCATTTGCCAGTCAAGCTCTTAGCCTACTGAGCCATCTCCCTGTCCCGCCCCCCACCCCCAGTCCTTATTACTGAAGCAGTAAAATTCTTTTCCTGAAGAACCCATCAGGGCTGGTGCGATGGCTCAGTGGTCTGGAGCACCTACTTAGAACAAGCTTAGCAAAGCACAGGGACCGCCACACCCCCTGGTGGGCTGAGCTGGCCACACACACACACACACACACACACACAAATAAATAAAAATTTAAAAAAAAAACTCATCAATGTAAAGGCTGCAGTTTTAACAACAGGCTGACATTGTAAAAGAATTTTATATTAAATAGGATATAGCTATAAGGCAATTAAGCTGATAAAAACATAGGATGTCACCTGATGAAATCAAGAACTTGTAGGGGCTAGGGGGATGGCTCAGTAGAATAAGTGCTTGCAGCCCAAGGGCCTGAGTTCAATCCCCAGTTCTGCCCCCCCCCCCAAAAAAAAAAAAAAAAGAAGAAATGAAGAACTTGTGTGAAACTGCTACATAGTCCACTATTTATTTTATATATACAAAAAAAAAAAAAAAAAAAGAAATGAAGAACTTGTGTGAAACTGCTACATAGTCCACTATTTATTTTATATATACCAGACAGAAGATCACTATAGAGTATAGGCTGCCCTCAAATTCCTGATATTCCCGCTTTGTCTTTTTTCTTTTTGGCAGAACTGGGGATTGAACTCAGGCCCTTGCACTTCTTATTCTGCTGAGCCATCTCCCTGCCCTCCCTGCCTTTTTGTCTTGAATGTGTTGGATTTCAGACATTTGAAACCACACGGACCTAGGCCACTCTTCTAGACCAGTTGTAGATTACTCTCTGCAGTTGGTCACAGGGGTAGAAGCATTCTCTTCTTGGCCTTACTTTTTTTGTGTGTGTGTGGCTTAAAAGAGCTCATAACTATGAACTGCTAACATTTATTACCTAATTACCAAGGGCCCTACTGGCCCTCCGGAGAGGGATCTCCATCTCATCAGCCTGGCCAAAGCCATGAGATGGGCCTCTAGTACCCCAGGCACCATGTTGAGCACATCAGGTGGACAGTGCTCAGCCACAGGGGTAGGCAGAGAGACTGTGGGAAAAGATGCTGTGCACCCCTAAGGTTCAGCGCCACGGTGTACTGAGTCCCTCTGCGGCAGAGGGTTGTGTCTTTTTTTCTCTCCCAAAGATACTATAGCTTGGCTTCAACTCTGCTTTGCGTATTTCCCTGTCACCTTCCCCCAATTTTCTTAGATACTGCTGACCCGTTGGGAGAACCAGCTGAAGTTAGAGGTAGGACAGAGCAGGGTGGGTGGTGTTCTCCAAACACTTCACCGTATATGCACTGTGCTCCCGACCTTGGTCCCCGGGGACCTCCAGGACAATTCTGACGCCACGAAGGGCCAGGCCCAGCGCTTTCCAGCGCGATGAGCGCGGGCTGGGCGCGGTCGGCCTGGGGTCTCGGTGACCCCGACGGTGGGATGCAAGCTCAGTGTCCCCAAGTCGGCCGGCAGGACGGGACAGGCGGAGAGGAAAGGGAAAGGGAGACGTGGGGAGGGGAGAGTAGCTGAGAGCCCGACCGTCCGGCCCCCTGCTGCGCCCCTGCCGGCCGGGCCAGAGTGTCCCCAGCGCCACCACCGGACGGACCGGACTGCGGCACCCGGAGGGGCTGTGGACGACCCTGGTGGTGGTCGTGGGGGAAACAGTCCTGGTCTCTGTCACGCCGAGGCCGTGGGCACCCTGCGGGGGCCCAGCGAGCCCTCCAACTACCCCGGGCTGAATGCAGACAGGAGGGTCGGTGGCCGCGAACTCGGCTCCCGGGGCCACTGCCGCGATAGAGCACCTGGGGACGAGGTGCGGTTCCACCTGGATCGGCCAGCTCGGCCTCGCTGGGCCCACATTCCCGAAACGCAGCTTAAGAGGGAAAAGTTTGATTCTCACTCACGTTTCAGTCCAAGGTCCGCAGGCTCTGAGGCAGGAACCACAGGGCGAGTGGAGCTGCTCACTCCAGATAACCAGGAAGCGGAGAGCAGGAAGAGTCCGAGGAGACACCCCCTTCCCAGGCCACCCCCAGTGACCTACTTCCTCCCTCGGCCCCACCTCCAGCAGCACGGTCTGCTGCGAGGGCAGCGCCCCAGGCGCTCAGCACCTTTCAGAACCCCACCTCTGACCACGCAGCCCTTTGAGCAGTGTTTTGATTCCAACCTAAGGCGACCCTTCTTCCCAAAGCGACAGCCGAGGCAGCAGGGCAAGTGTCTGTCCTAGACTGTGCAATAACTAAATGGCAGAGCTGGAGTAGGAACCCAGGACCTTCTCTCCTGGCCCCGGCCCTGGGTTGAGGGAAGTACATACGTGAACCAGGCTTAATCAGCCGGGTAAAAGCTGAAGGTTGGAAGTCACTGAAGCCGTTGCAGGCTCTGATTAGCAGCTCAGACCCGGGGAAGGCTCACAATCCACCCTAGTCAGTTTTCCAGCCAAACGCATCCCTAAATAAAGACAATATAACACGTTCTTAACCGTGCCTATCCTTATGCAACCAGCCATGTACCAGTGGAAATGCCCTAACTCCATGTCCAGAACAAAAGGCAGTTTTTCTGTGAGTGATACATACTCTTCAGACATTCCATAACTTCCACATTATAATGTGTCTTTTTTTTTTTTTTTTAAGTACTGTAAATCACACTCAGGGCCTCACGCTTGTCAGGCAGGTGCTGCACCATTGAGCTAAATCCCCACTCTATAATGTAGATTTAACAACACTTAAGTGTGATATTGAGGCAAGTGATAGCTTGTAACATGGTGTAGAAATACAAAAAGAAGGCTATGTGCTTCATGTATGTGCTTGTATGTGCAAGCATAATAATATAGGAAAGAATTACCCATGACTATTACGATCCTTGTCCTTGTAACTGGTTATATGAACTCCCTTCTACTCTCTCCATACATGCGTCTCCACACTAGCTATCTCTCCATACGTGCATCTGCAAAGGCAGTAACACCAAAGCATCAATGTAGGTGTGATTACAGGTGTGTACTACCACGCCCTGCTATTTTTATATTTTTGACTCTGAGTCTTGATGTGTGGCCCAGGCTGGCCTTGAACACATGGGCTCTGATGATCGGCCTGCCTCAGGCTTCCGAGTAGCTGGTACTACAGGTGTGTGCCACTGTGTTTGGCTCAGAATATTAAAAAAAAAAAGTCTTTGTAGTGGGCCTGGTGCCGAGGACCACGCCTGTAATCTCAGCACTCAGGAGGCTCAGGCAGGAGGATCGTTGTGACTTGGAGATCAGGCTGGGCTACAAAGTGAGCTCAAGGCCAGCCTGAACTGCATAGAGAGACCCTGTCTCAAAAAGATTAAAAAAGAAAAAATCCTCACAGTAAGCTGCCCTGAATTTTGCTCACTTTGAATTCAATTAGCCAACGTTTAAAAAAAGAAACAGCTCACTACCTCATGCAAAACAGGGAATTGAGCGTTAATAATGACACAGCAGTGCCACGGGCTCCCTTCCAAGAGAGGATGTGATGCTCTGGGGTCTCCAAGAGCAGCCAACCTCTTGTTGGTTTTTTTTTTTGACTCAGGCCCTTGCACTTGCCAGAGAAGCGCTTATTCTACTGAGCCATCTCCCCAGCCCCTAAGGAGCCAACCTCTTTAACATGGTGGCTTAATATAGTCTTGACAGCTCAAAAGGGGTAGACAACTACAGTGTAGGTTTTATGTATATCCTTCCATATGACAACTGCACCTGAAATTGTCCTGGTGTCCTGTGATAAATGCACACAACCTTGACTGTTTCCTTTATTTTTTATCAGGAAGAAGGCAAGGATGTCATCTACTCTTACCTCTGTCAGTCTACCCAGTACTGGCAGTTAGTGCCAGCACAATAAGGCTAGAGAAAGAAATTAAAGGAACAAGGATTGGAAAAGAAGACCCCCCCTTCTCTTTTTTTT